GTAGGCAGGTTGTGAGTAAGGAGTATGTAGCTGCAACAGAGGGCCATGTGGGCTTTGGGAGAATGGGGCAGGCCTAGCCTATTTCTATTCCCAGAGAACAACACTAGGCAGACCACCCCAATATGCCACCCTCACCTCAGCAGTGAGTAAGGACCTGGAGCACTGGGGTGCTCTCTGATTCTATCTTTACCTGAGCTTTCCCATCTGGCAAATGAAAGAGGAAAACAGCAAACCCCCTCCCCAGAGAGGCTGGTCATTATATGCATGTTTTGTATTATTTTGCTGTGATTAAGAGAATATGTAAATGTGTTCCTGGAGGTTAAAATAACCCTAGTTTTGTAACACTTGGCTGCTCCCATTGGGGCGAATAGCTGAAAATTATAGGGAGGCTGGAGAGGATTTCTTCCCTCGTTTCTCTCCACCCACTCCATCATTCTATGCAGACACAAGCTGGCACTGTAGAGTCTGATTGCCATCACTGAATTCTAGTAGGTTCTGCAGTGCAGTGCACAGCATCGGTCAATACTGATATTGGCATAAGACTCCATTAGATATTTGTGCAGGTGCAGACGTTATAGCTGGGAAAAATAAAAGTCTCCTGTAGCTCCTAGAAGCCCTGTTAAATTGGGTCCCCAGCCAGAGTACAAAACGGTGTTTGGTCACCATGGGCACATTACGGTCCTCAGCCACCCAGTTCATGTTCTGAGTTTGGCATGGCCCCTCAGCTTTAGATTCCCACGGGCCCTGCTTTGTTGGGCAGTCCCTTTCTTAAATTGCTTTTTTTCCTGGCATCTGCATTTCCTGGCATTGTGTGATGTGATAGTATCTTCATGTTGGGAAAATAAATGTGGCATATTTTTAGCCATATTTAATAAAATATTTATGATACATGAGGCTATGTGATAAAATCCTTAGGCCTAGAGTCCTTTTGCTTCTGATTACATTTGGGATTTTTTCTATGAAAAGTTATCTTGATACCAGCTTTTATACACTGAACAGATGTCTTGTAATAAAAATGGGTGTCAAATGCTGGGAACCACAGGAGGTGGATTTGTTTAAGAGCTAGCTGACTCTGCTTTTTGTTCCTTTTTGCATTCTGTATAATGAAACTTAGCTGAGTATTTAGGTAATTCACTCACTTCAGATATGCATTTTCATAATAGATTTTTTTATCCAAAAGCATTGTAAGCAAGGCCCTGTAAACAGTGTTTAAGGACTTCCTTGATTTCTGATTTCTGCATAATACTTTGTTTTCTTTGTTTTGAATGTGAGAAGAGAGGTGTAGAGCTCTTGGCAGGGTCCAAAAACGTAATTAATCATGGAGGACCACCTTTTCATGGGCCCTGAGGTAGTGCTTTCCCTCAAGTGCTTGGCAGGTGCATTGAGGAGAAGGCAGGAGGGAGCAAATGGGTTCAGGGAGAAGAGCGGAGCTGTTGAAGGGAACAGCTGAACACATGCTTGTTTGATCTTGTCCTAGTCACTAGAAAGTCAGATCCCTGCCCTATGACAAGGAACCAATCAGAAGTTAGCTGGTGGCATTATGCTTTACGACTCTGGGTGTACTTTACGGACATGTGCACAGCAATGACGCGCAGAGCATAGCAACCACCCTGGGAGGGCCTATCATCCATAACAACCAGTTGGCCAATCAACACAGGGCAAACCCTCCAAGCCTGGAGGCACACCAATCCTGAGCCTGTGCATACCCCTAAACACTCCCCTTATGCTGCCCTACACAAGATTGCTCTGCAGCCGGTTCTAGGTATCTTTGCAAACCATCCGCCATGGCGGGTGGGTGAAAGACCCGAGCTAACATGGGGTTAGCTCATTAAACAACAATAAAGCCTCATGCAGTTTGCATCAAGCTCTCGAATCTGCCTGGTGATTGGGGTGACCGAGGTCGTGGCCTGGGACCCCGGATACCTGAGTTTTTCTGGGGGTCTAACATTTGGGGGCTTGTCCTGGATTTGTGACCACCCCTCACCAGAGTGGATTCAATCTTGGAGGTAAGATGATTCGAGCTTGTAACTTATATGTTCAATGTTATGTTCAATGTTCTGTATGTCTCTTGCTGTTCTGTTGGTTTGGTGCCATGACTTGAATTTGATCTGTACCTATGCAGGACTTGTACTTGTATTTACTTGTATTTGAAATTTGTAATTTGGACCTAAGGGGGAAACAGACATGTTTCGAGACCCTGAAGTCCCGTCCTGGATGAAAATCCTAGGGTTGTTTGATTTGGACCATAGGGAAAGCAGACGTGAGCAGAAACAGACGTGTTTCTGGAACCCTTGGTTCCACCCTGGACGAAAGTCCAAGGGTTGTTTGTAATTTTGGATTGGGGCACCATTCTTTGCTGCGTGGTTTGTCCTGTCTGATGTCTATCCTGTTTTTGCTGTTTGTGTCTGTCTCCATATGTAAAGGTCCTATATTAGGGTTTACAAGAATTGTTTAGGGCAGAGGTTTGGGTGGCAGCCTTCTGAAATCTGTAGGGGAGACTTGGTTTCGGACCAAGTTGATCTCCTTGGGGCTAGCCATCTGAAATTCCGAAAAGGACCCTAGTCTGTGTTAAACATCTCTTTCTGTCCCTACTGCCCACGCACATGGCATGCATGGGTCAGGGGTCTTTTCTTGTTGCCCTGAGCAAGTGGTGCTGGAGAGGACTTTCTCTTCAATGCACCATGGGTTAGGGTTAGAATGTGCTGCAGCGGAGTCGCCAGAGGCTGCTGCTCTGAACTCTAACCATTGCTGCAGCACTCGCAGCTGAGCCTGGCAGATGTAGGTGAGTTTTTCTATCTCCACCTGCAGGTCTGTGAGGCATTCGAAGTGGAGCTGTCTCTGCCCCAGCTGCCGTCCTGCCATGGGACCTGGCTTGCGGCAGGAGATTCCCTGCTCTGAGGGAACATGGCTGAAAGGCTGCCATCTGCCTGGCTGTCCGGCCTTCTCTGTGCTCTACACACATGGTATTCAGGGAAACCGAGGGGGTCTTTTCCCACCCCTGCATTGGCCGAGGGTCTGGGGTTACCAGCAGCACCCCAACCCCAGGTCTCTTCCCTGAGCACGTGGAGCTTTGGTGAGTGAGCTATCTGGTCTGATTTCTGATTTGATGTTCAAAACAAAAAAAAAAAAAACGGCCTTAAAGTTATTAAAAACTATGGAAAGGACTTTGATAAAACTTTTTATGTTGACTGAGAAATGAGAGAGAATGTACTAAAATGATTAAAAAAAGAAAGAGAAATTTATCTAAGAATGTCTAAGAAAATCGGAGTCAACCAAGGGTATATAGAAAGTTATAGAGGGTTAAAGCAAGTCGGAGAAGGTCAAAGAAAAGGTTGTTAAAAGAGAAAAATGTAAACTGTTTGTTATGGTTTCTCATGTCTACAAATAGTAAATTTTAAAAAATGGTAATATTGAAGGACTTAAGAATTAACAAAGAAATAAAATAAGGAGACTTAGAAAAAATAAACTCTCACACTAAAAACAGGGCGACCTGACTTAGAAATCTAATCAAGGTTACAATGACCTGAGTCCCTGGAATTTCCTAGCTGGCAGCAGTAACTCCCTTACAAGGCCACAAGACAGCCTAACTAAATACCAAGAATTCCCAGAGGGCCACCCTGCCCTGGGGTCATGAAGATAAGAACAGACTATCCCACTGAGTCAGGAGACCATCCAGCCCCAAAGATAAGAGTCCTCCAAAGAACCTGTGACTCTGGTCACCACCCTAACCCCTATGGTTTTCTCCTATAAAAGAAGCCTGCTTTTGAGGAACAGGGCTTCCTTTGTCTGTCGGACTGGGAGGCCCGTTTGTGCAAACATCCCACAATAAACTTACCTCTTGTTTTTACATCAGCTGGACTGAACATTGAGTGTTTTGGGGGGGACCGTCCGATTTGTGGAGACTCTTCGATCTGAGGGTCTTTCATTTGGAGGTTCCACAGAGATCAGGACATCCTGACACCTCCCAGACTCAATTTCACAGCCAGTTGGAGGTAAGACAGTCTATGTGTCTATGTGTCTTGTGTCTATGTGTCTATGTGTCTTGTATTTGGTAAGGACCATAGAGGGAGATAGACGTATTCTGAGACTCATGGTTCTGCTCTGAACAGACATTTTATGAGGAGGTTCCTGGTTCCACCCAGACAAAAGTCTGAGGGTCATTTGGAGGATGAAGAAAGACGAAGTCTCACTTCTCCCAGCAGGCGGCCGGCCCCAGACTTTGCTTCCCTCCCACTTTGTAACTTGTTATTTGGATTCTGGTTTGGCGCCACCTGTCTACCATGCAGTTTGTCCTATCTGTTGTATTTTGTTTTGTTGCACTTGTCATTTGTGTCAATCTCTGCTTCTCCCCATGGGTCAGCAACTAACTACCCCCTTAAGTTTGACTTTAGGTCACTGGC